CCTCACTAAGTTGCTGAGGCTGGCCTCAAATTTGCCATCCTCCTGCCTCAGTCTCCTGAGTTGCTGTGATTACAGGCATGGGTCACTGTGCCCCATCAGACTAGGAAAAATCTAAAATCCACTGAGGGTGGAAACTGTGGGCAATTTGGGAATTGAAGAGAAAGAGACACGGTTGGACAGCAGGTGTTCCTGACATCAGGGAGGCCACCAACTGAAGAGTCTTCCTTCAGAATCAGGGACCCCCCAGGGCACATCTCCCAGGCAACCTTTGCTCCAGGCAGTTTCCAGGGCCCTTTAGGCTGTGAGAATTTCACAGGCAAAGAAAGGTTTGAAGAGCCTGAGTAAAAAGTAATTCAGGAATTGAGGAAGCGGAGAAAGAAAAAGAGGGAGTGCTTGGATGATGAGCCATGTGAGGGGAGGACTTACAGGGAAGATGTAGAAGGAATGGTTTGATTGGTGGCAGTTACAGAATTGCATTTCTGCTTTGTTGTTCTGTCTTTGTGTTAGTCAGCTTTTTCACGTTGTCACTAAAAGACCCAACCCCAACACCTACAGAGAAGGAAAAGTTAATCTGGGGGTTCATGGTTTCAGAGGTCTCAATGCACCCACAGCAGATTCCACTCCTGGGGCCCTCACCTCCAAGGTAAGGCAGGAGATTATGGCAGAGGGAAGGTGCTCACATTATCAGAGAACAGAGAGGGAGATGGCCTCTTGCCAAATACAAAATATGTACACCATATTCACACCCCCAATGATCACCTTCCTGCAGCCACACCCCACCTGCTGCCCCCGGTTATCACTCAGTTAATCCCATTGGGAATTAACTTACTGACAAGGTTAAGGCTATAAACCAATCATGTCTCCTCCAAAACCATTGTCTCACAGGTGAGCTGTTGGGAGACACAGCATCTAAACTGTGATGGTCTTCTTGGGTATCTTGTTGGAAAATATCCCTAGTCACATCACAGTTGGATACTTACAGTTGAAGTTATCTTTGGTTTCTGTTTAATATAATAAATTACCACAAATGACCCACATTTAATCTCCTATGTGTGCATTGAAGTAGGGCTAAGGCTATTTCAGAGACCTCATTGCTTTTTAGGATCCACAACATTTGAATTCTAGTCTCTGACTGAATTATAAATTTCTCTGCCATTTGTGTGTGTGTAGCCAGCAGAAAGGGTGACTTCATGCCACAGCCCTGACTTCTCTTACCACCCTTGACTTGGCACAGGAGGCAGGTAGATGTTACTGTCAACCTAAGTCACAACTTACAGTAGCTCTCAAAGAACAAATGTAGTCATACATAATAGGGCAGGAATGCAGGACACCTAAAGAAAGATGAGTCAGAGCCCCATCCAGGAGGCAAAGGGAGACAGGGTGTCAAAGGCAGCTTTAAATCAATTATCACTGGCTCCACAGATTCAGTACCAAGGGTGGCCTCAGTTCAAGGACAATGGGTGGTGACTTGCCAGTTGGCCTCTTAGAAAATGTAGGGGCGGGGTGTGAAGGTTAGGGTGGATTTTATGCACAGCTGAGGTTGGGGCTGACTGGTTTGTGATAGTTTCTGAAATCAGGCAGGGCTGCTCAGGGACCTTTCCTTTGCAGCACCCTGCTCCCACTTCATCAGGATTTGACACAGTTACTGTCTGTTGATTTGAGCACCATTTATGTTCTCTCCTTGAGATGAAGATATTTTCTCTGGATGATTCACATAATGGTTAGGGTTTGATTCTATCTCAGTGCCAGGATGGACTTTTCCTGGTTGGTCCAGACCCCATTAGAGGGAATTAATAGATGATAAGTAATCAATGTTGAAACTTATTGAGCCACATTTGAACAATAAGGTAGGTTTGGAGGGAGTGGCTCTCAGTGTCCCTCTACCAACAAGTCCCTGTTAAATTCAATTTTGCCTGTTCATTAGGCTTTGGGTATCTCATCTCCAAGCTTTCGCCTTTACTGTAATATGAAGAGTTAGACTTTTGCAGAAATTTTACTAGTATAGATGTTCATTTTTAAAAAAATATTTAGGTCCTGAATTCATTTGTTTTTTATTTTATTTTTTTTTTTATTATTTGGCACTGAACACTGAACCCAGGAGAGCTTTACCACTGAGCTACATCCTCAGCTTTTTTTCATTTTTATGAATTAATTACTTAGTTAATTAAATTTTTCATTTATTCAGCTTAGGTACTAAGGTTTGAATGAAGGGGAACTACACCACTGAGTTATACTCCCAGCCCATTTTTTAATTTTTTTTTTAAGACAGGTTCTCACTAAATTACTGAGACAGACCTTGAATTTGAGATCCTTCTGCCTTAGCCTGCTAAGTAGATGGTGCTATGGGGAGTCCCTCCAGAAAGCACTCTAAGTCTAAATTTCAAATCAAAAGAGATCTTTACTTACCTTACTAGGGACTGTCACCCACCACAGAGACTCAAGCTCTGTGAGAGGACAGCAGCTTCTTGGTCTATCCAAAGACAATATAAGCACAAATCCACAACTTAGTGACTTGATTATTCTCATGTAAGCTAGCCAATCATAGAAATTAAGACATTAATAAGTGGGGCCTCTGGGCTATAAGCACGATCAGAATTTTCCAGCCAGCAAGTCAGCACATTAGTTTTGCAGTTCAGTTGACCACAGTCCTGGGTTAAATCAGGTGCTAGACAGTTGCATCCTGAATTGGGGTAGGGGTCAGCAGAGTGAAAATCTACTTCAAAGTCATGTAGACCCAC